AAGGAAGAAACCAACCTCGATTATGATTATGCAGGGCACATTAGTCGCCTCTCACGATTATTCAGTGGGATGCAGCAGGCCTATTTCCCCGAACCAGCGTGGGTCTGTCGGATGTCAGCTGCCATACTAAATTCCCTGCTCGCTCTCTCAACAGATTCAACCGGCAGTTGTAGAAACATACTTTCAACAGACTTCTGAACTTCTGTAATACATGCATGATAATTATCAATTGTCGACTCCACCAACTTCTGCGGTATGGCATCCTCGATTGGAAAATTGAAGGCACGGTGATAGCTATTTGATTAGTCGCGGGTAAAACAACTGACCAATCGCTGGGCTGATACATGTTCTTTGAAAGAGCGACACACGATTCCAAACTGGTCAATTTTACCGTTACGCCTGCGGGTGATTCTTTCGATACATATCAGAGGATCAAACTAGTATATGGTTGCAGAGAGCGTACGTGAGTGTAACACCTGGATACATAAGTATATTAGCTAGATCGAGCCAGAGCATTACATCACCCGCCATACTTTACACAATAATCCTTAGTACCCAATAGCAGATCTTGTAACCATATAAGACCAGCAATTGGGTCCTGGTGCCCACATAGCCCTTACCTTCTTAATGCAGAATTCTTGTAAACTTTGGTTGAACATTTTTATTCTTTTAAAAGTACTGTCAATTTTACAATAAGAACTTGCTTGGAGTTCCGGATCATTGCGTAATATGTGGGCGGAGTGGTGATTAAGCCATCTCTGGTTTAAAACCTACAGTCTGATGGAAATCTGCTCGTCTTTCCAAGTCTCCTTCTGGACAGTTGACGAATTGACCCCTTCGTGACCCTTCGTTTCTTCTGCGTTGTATTCGCAGCAATCTTCCTGAGGACCTGACCATGCCTCCATATGATACTAGACTCTATTTGTTTGAACAAGAAAAATATGAACAGTACGAGAAACTTCATCAAGGAATTTAAATATCACAAGATATTTGTCTGTGAAAGTTTCATTGTATCCCATTTTGTCAAAGCGCCTTGGCAGCACATTTCTACGGCTCTTGTTTTCCTGTTTGTGGTTATACCCCAGGTATCTCATCTTAATTTGTAACTCTTTTCTTTCTGCTACGTCAACTTTCCTGGTCATATCTATCCACAAGCATAATCCTAAACAAGACATGCTCTCTGTATATTAAAAAGGGTCCTGTGACGATAAAATGCACCTGTCATGTGACATGGTTGAATATTGAAACCTTTGCACCTTTATCAACAATTTCAACACAATTCATACAATTGCACCTTTATCAACTATTTAAACAACAATACATCAATCTGCTTTTTTATCAGCTGCATCTTTATCAACCATTTGAACAAGACTCCATGTAACTGGATCTTAATCAACCATTTGAACAAGACTCCATGTAACTGGATCTTTATCAACCATTTGAACAAGACACCATGTAATTGGAACCTAATCAACCATTTGAACAAGACTCCATGTAACTGGATCTTTATCAACCATTTGAACAAGACACCATGTAGCTGAATATTTATCAACCATTTGAACAAGACTCCATGAAACTACATCATTATCAACCATTTGAACAAGACTCCATGAAACTACATCATTATCAACCATTTGAACAAGACTCCATGAAACTACATGCTTATCAACCATTTGAACAAGACTCCATAAAACTACATCTTTATCAACCATTTGAACAAGACTCCATGTAACTGGATCTTAATCAACCATTTGAACAAGTCTCCATGTAACTGGATCTTTATCAACCATTTGAACAAGACTCCATGTAACTAGATCTTTATCAACCATTTGAACAAGACACCATGTAGCTGAATCTTTATCAACCATTTGAACAAGACTCCATGTAACTGTATCTTTATCAACCATTTGAACAAGACTCCATGTAACTGGATCTTAATCAACCATTTGAACAAGACTCCGTGTAGCTGGATCTTAATCAACCATTTGAACAAGACTCCATGTAAATAGATCTTTATCAACCATTTGAACAAGACACCATGTAATTGGAACCTAATCAACCATTTGAACAAGACTCCATGTAGCTGGATCTTAATCAACCATTTGAACAAGACTCCATGTAACTGGATCTTAATCAACCATTTGAACAAGACTCCATATAACTGGATCTTTATCAACCATTTGAACAATCCTCCATGTAACTGTATCTTAATCAACCATTTGAACAAAACGCCATGTAACTGGATCTTAATCAACCATTTGAACAAGACTCCGTGTAGCTGGATCTTAATCAACCATTTGAACAAGACTCCATGTAGTTGGATCTTTATCAACCATTTGAACAAGACTCCATGTAACTGGATCTTAATCAACCATTTGAACAAGACTCCGTGTAGCTGGATCTTTATCAACCATTTGAACAAGACACCATGTAGCTGAATATCTATCAACCATTTGAACAAGACTCCATGAAACTACATGCTTATCAACCATTTGAACAAGACTCCATAAAACTACATCTTTATCAACCATTTGAACAAGTAGATCTTTATCAACCATTTGAACAAGACACCATGTAATTGGAACCTAATCAACCATTTGAACAAGACTCCATGTAACTGGATATTTATCAACCATTTGAACAAGACTCCATGTAACTGGATCTATATCAACCATTTGAACAAGACTCCATGTAACTGGATCTATATCAACCATTTGAACAAGACTCCATGTAACTGGATCTATATCAACCATTTGAACAAGACTCCATGTAACTGGATCTATATCAACCATTTGAACAAGACTCCATGTAGTTGGATCTTTATCAACCATTTGAACAGGACTCCATGTAACTGGATCTTTATCAACCATTCGAACAAGACTCCATGTAGCTGGATCTTTAACAACCATTTGAACAAGACTCCATGTAGCTGGATCTTAATCAACCATTTGAACAAGACTCCATGTAACTAGATCTTTATCAACCATTTGAACAAGACACCATGTAGCTGAATCTTTATCAACCATTTAAACAAGGCTCCATGTAGCTGGATCTAAAGTTATCAACCATTTTAACAAGACTCCATGTAGCTGAATCTTTATCAACCTTTTGAACAAGACTCCATGTAGCTGAATCTTTATCAACCATTTAAACAAGACTCCATGTAGCTGGATCTAAAGTTATCAACCATTTTAACAAGACTCTATGACACTACATGCTTATCAACCATTTGAATAAGACTCCATGAAACTGCATCATTATCAACCATTTGAACAGGACAACAAGACCCCATGAAACTGCATGTTTATCAATCATTTGAACAAGACTCCATGAAACTACATGCTTGTCAACCATTTGAACAAGACTCCATAAAACTACATCTTTATCAACAATTTGAACAAGACTCCATGAAACTACATGCTTATCAACCTTTTTAACAAGACACCATGAAACTACAACATTATCAACCATTTGAACAAGACTCCATGAAACTACATCTTTATCAACAATATGAACAAGACTCCATGAAACTGCATCATTATCAACCATTTGAACAAGACTCCAAGAAACTGCAAGCTTTTCAACCATTTGAACAAGACTCCATGAAACTACATGCTTATCAACAATTTGAAGAAGACTCCATGAAACAGCATCTTTATCAACCATTTGAACAAGACTCCATGCAACTACATCTTTATCAACCATTTGAACAAGACTACATGAAACTACATCATTATCAACCATTTGAACAAGACTCCGTGTATCTGCACCTTTATCAACCATTTTAACAAGACTCCATGCAACTACATCCTTATCAATCATTTGACCAAGACTCCATGAAACTGCATCATTATCAACCATTTTAATAAGACTCCATGAAACTACATGCTTATCAACAATTTGAACAAGACTCCATGAAACTACATCATTATCAACCATTTGACCAAGACTCCACGAAACTACATGCTTATCACCTATTTGAACAAGACTCCATGAAACTACATGCTTATCAACCATTTGAACAACACCCCATGCAGCTACACCTATCAACCATACTTTGTGGTATTCTTCTTTTAACCGGTAATTCGCCTTTGTAGATTGTATCTTGCTTTTCTATTTTGCTGTATGATATATCTATTATTTTCGGTTGAACAGTGTTTTTATCCAATTTAAATAGTTTCGATAAGTTATAACTATGAGATAAAGTTAAGGATTTTCTCCAGGTACTCAGGTTATCTTCCATCCTCATTCCGTGTCCAGCCTTGCCAACAAGTCTATAATTTTGAAAAGTTTGTTTTACAATTGTAATAAAAATCTAAATTTGTATAAAGCTAGCCTGGCTCCGGGAAAAAAGAGAAGGCTCGCAGAGTAAAAAAAGAGATCGATCGTATATTCCAAACACCAAATTGGTATCAATCGATTGAATGGTACGTAATTTATCACTCACAAGGAGTCATTTTTAGACATGTGCATTATTTCATCAAATCCAGCAATAGGTTTTGATAACTATAAAAAAAGATGTGTGTACATATACAGTAAATGTTTATGAAATAGCGTTTCATTATTTTGCCTTATTTCTTTGTAACATTGATTTTGTTCGTTTTGAAATTACTCTACCAGGCTGCATGTCATGAAATTTGTATAATTCATAATTTATTCAAATGCGGATCCTATTTCACAGTTTACACGATTTCATTTTTATCCCCGGTTAGTAACGTTAGGGCATATAACTTTAATGCTTCACTATATCACAAAAAAGCTGTGACTGTATTTTTTTTCTATTTTATATATAAGCATATAAATAAATCATTTGTGAATACATTATTATTTTTCGACTTTAGCATATATATCCCCGAGCACTATTGCCGACGTGCCGAGTCCATTTCCGTATTGTAACCATAAATAAGGTTTACAGTTTACAGTCAGTGATAGGTATGGGAAGTTGAAATAAAATTAACCAATCACACGCCAGTAAATAATTCACTGCATGATGAGTAATCCTGAAAAAGGGAAGACATGGACGTCTACGGTGTGACGATCAGACGGAATACATACTGACACTCAGGATTTATACATCCATTTGGTCATGTGATATTTATCTACATTTTGGTGTTACAAAAAGGTGATTGGAGTATACCCATTTTCGTAAATATTGAAATCCAATTGTGCGCTCTAAATAGGGCCTAGTAGACAACCACTTGCCGATCTGTCTGCTGATTGAGAATTATCGGGATGTGACAAAGGGATAGGATGAATACAATAATTGTGATTGTGAAATGGATAATTTTTTGTTAACGCTAAGTAAGTATATCTCTGTTGTATTGTAGTCACCTCTTTCCAAATATCGCTAGCTGTCATTTTCATCAATTTTGTCTTGTAGGCCTGACTAGTGCCTGGTCAGACGGGTTTGTTTTGGTTTGACAGGGATCGTGTCTGTTGTTGGTTTTACAGTATATGTATGCATACTATTTTTTATTTAGAAGGTATTTGATACCCACATGAATGCAGTCTGAAGCCAATATAAGAACTGACATTGAACCATAATTACTGGCGATTTATATTGGAAGACTTGCATTGTTGTACTTGGTTGGCTGTAGCAGGTGGCTGTGTATTGTAGAAGACACGTTGTGTATTGTATCACACATATAACGTTATACAGAGAAAGCAGAATGCTACAATAAACAAACTAAAAATATAAGCTAATACAATACTTGAACCACTTCAATACAAAAACGGCTACAATACAAAAACTATGCAAACAAACTGCTACGAATAATCAATACACAAACTGCTACAATAAAGGACAACTACATTACATAACTTACTACTACAACATAGAAACCACACTAAAGAGATTCTATTTTGATACAGTATTTTGTCTGTGACGTGTGCCTGCGTTATATTTGACTACTAGGTTATTTTTTTCTGTTGTACAGAAATGAGTTAATCAAGAGGAGGATGGGAAACATAATTTGTGATGACACTTTTTTACTTGTAATTGATACAGATTGTAATAATATAAGTCCCGGAGATGAAACCTGTACCATCGATTGTACAGGTATACTAAGGTATAATGTATTGATTATGAAATAATTGATTGTCATGCAATCCACTGGATCATTGATGGGGAAGTTTAGTACATGTGTACTTACCTAAATTCAATATTTAAAAGAAAAGGATTTTTTTTTTGCATCTCAGATGTATTGTATAGGGCCGGTATCAGTTGCAGTTATGCAATAAATTACATACATCAATACAATATTTGAATAAGAAGGGCATCTGCTCTGTTAAGGGCACCCAGGGAGTTTTGATGATATATGTTCCAAAAAAAATCCATTCAGGACTTTGTATTGTTTCATTAGTTATACAGCTTCTGTCACAAAAATGGTGCAGTCCATGATTATGTTCAACAAAACCCAAGCTGTCATGGAACATTATTTGCTGAAATTAATGGTGACCTAAAGTGTATGCAATCTATCAGAATGATATGGGAAATTCATTTTTTAGAGTCAGATTAAGACTGGATACCATTGAAGCTTACAACGGATCTTTAATTACTGTGCATTGAGAATAACTTTCCTTCTATGAAATAGGAAAGACAAAATATATTACCTTTGTAAAATAAATAACAAATTTCAAGTAGCCAAACTTTATTTAGATGAGGATCGAAATCCAGGATCAAATGAGTCTAGAAGATTTGCATCATTGAAGGCAGATATTCCCATAGCAACCAAAGTCCTCCTGAAAGTTTGATAAACTTTTGAATTTTAAAATTACTGGAGACTTTTGTTAATTGGTCTCTCTAGCTATGGTAGCCCTGTTATGTGGGTGTGGTTTCTACACTACTCATTTCAAAAACAGGGGACATCATTTTCAGATGGTGTAATTAGTCCCAGTCGAGTCCAGAGCATCCTGACAGGGGCCACACCCATGTACACTCCACTACACACACACTACAAAGAACAGGAGCTACTTGAATGCCCTCGAGATTGAGGACATTTGTTGGTGTAAGACACTGTCAATGCATTTGTGTCTGTGTCCTACATATTACTAGTACAGTGTGGTTACATTTTAGTCAGTACCTTTCAAATATACACTGTAGAATGTATTTTTTTCCCTTTACTGCGTTTACATTTAGTATATATATGTATATAGTATGGTTCGTATCCACTGTACATGTATATATATTATACACAAGATTGGTGGTCAAAGAGTGGACTGGTTATTATCTTGTCATTTTGATATATATACAGACACAGTGTACTTTAATGTTGGGACATCAGTGACATGCATGTGTACATCAACTCATTCACTCCTTTGTATGTGTGTAGAAAATGTGTATCATACCGACAGGATTTACATAAATTACGTTAGATTATATATACTGTACACTTGTACATGTAAAGCGAAATAATTTTCAGGATATATATTTGTTTTATGAATATAGATTTATTAACGTCATTATCAGATAATAGAATTTACACACCGCTATTTGCTTTTTATATACTGAGCTGTCTCGCCCGTAATGCACACTGTATTATGACAGATTAGTTAGTTTGCACCAATTGGATCATTGCAACCAGCCACTGTAAAAAATGAACAAATATTTAGTATGGAGAGTTTATACATTTTAATGTGGGTATATATATTCAGAAGTTTGATGTACATTTGAATATATGCGTGGACATATTGTTTTAAAGTCAGTGATCTAGAGGGCCTGAAGGTGAATCAACCTGACATAAACTCATCCACCCCTGAAGACACACTTGAACCCTTTCAATTCAAAGGTTCGAATAGTTCATTATGAAATTTCAGGGGTGAATGAGTTAAATTTCCTGGCTGAAGGCCTATGTCGGCACACACTCTGTAAAGATTTAGGTATTTACTCAGCCTTTACGTATACTCCTGTATAGGTTCTGTTGAATTTATATATTTGTTCAGGTAGTAAATATTAAAGACCAAGACACATCATCGCGATTAGTGTGTATGGTGAATCAACCATGTCAGAATGTCGTAGCCATGCACTAAGACCTTTAAAAGTTGTACAACTTTCTAGTCCATTGATCACATTGCACTTAGTGAATTTATCCAGATTTATCCACCAATAAGCCCATGCCTGGTAATAAGCCCATTCATACTATTGTAGTTCAGTAGAAGTGCTAACAAATGTTATTTTCATGTAGATACATGTAAGGCCAACACAAATTACTTATGTTTCTGCTATCATCCACAGAAACAATAGGGTAGGTAGGTAGGTATTTTTTTTTTTATTTTGGAAAATATTTTTACTCTGCTTATATAGAGTAGGAGTTCTGACTTTAACAAAGCATAGCACTAAATGCCAATAAAAACTAGCTTAGGCACAAAAATCTAGGGTCGGTATAAGGTTATTAGTGACAACACAGTATTTTTTTTTTAATTTAGCCTAAGTTGTAATAAGCTGTATATTGTATATGTATATTTTTAAAGTTTTATGTTTGTGTATCCCGAGACAAGACATAACTGTACACGGTACTGTGTTATTCAGATTAAAAATACTGTTGGGAAACCTGGGAGGGGGAAATATGGAAATTTATATGTCTTTGATGATTTATATTTATACTTCGTTCTTTATTCAGAATGTGCCAAGTACATGTAAGTGACTTATTTAGATGTCAGCTCTGTTTGAATTGAACGCGTTACTTAATTAAGTGCTATTTACTTTCTGTGTTGGACGTTTTCTTGTGTTCAACTACTATTAATTATGCCAGCACTTACACGCATCTACAGTACTTGTTTATGGGGCACTGTCTGTGATGTTCTGATGTAGAATTCAATCTCCTTTAATATGTAATGTAGGTGTACTTGTGTGTACATGTGCTTATGTTGACATACCTTCTTAGTACAATCTGATGTAAGAGTGTGTGGGGGGAGGGGGGGGGGGGGCATTCAATATTTTCTGATGGAAACTAGTAATGACAGTGACATACCTGGCTCTGGGTGAATTACAATTACTGTCAGAAAAAATTGATGGAAAACATGGGATACAGCAATTTGAGCTTGGGATGAGGATGCTGTGTTCTGGATTGGTGGACTGATGCCATGCTCTGCACACAAGGTCTGCTCCTATGAGCTATTGATTGATGGAGTGTGGTGGTAATTGTGGCCATGTTTGGCCTGGTACAGCCTGCTGGATCTTGTATAACATGGCTGTCACCCACACATTTTCTCTGTGGAACCAGATTGGCCTACTTCTGCACAGATCAAATTTACAGTTTATTTGAATAGGATATTTATGATGTTTAACAGATATGAAATTGAGGTAGACATTCTTTTACAGAGATACAATATCACTGTAGTACAATTTTACGCTGTCAACTTTTGAGCTTAGCTGTTGTACATTATGATTGTGAATATGTTCTATCCCCCCCCCCTTTCCGGACATATATATATATTATATAAGGTCAATTGATTTGGAAATTGTAAATTATTGATTTTAAAAATGTTAGTGTAAAATATTAATGAAGTCTGAACACATACATTGTTTCAACCTTGTATGTTGTCCTGGTCCATCAAATGTACACTGGATATATGTATACTCCAGATTTCCATATTTATCCTGCAATAAGCCCAGGGTGCCAACACATAATCTCTGACTTGGGAAGTGGGCTTATTACAGGACAGTAATAAGCATTATAGAATTTCTGACTGAACTGAAATAGAAATTGATGGGCTTATTACTAGACATGGACTTATATTGCTGGATAAATACAGTAATTCAACCAGAGACTTTCTGAAGGAAGATATTAACCCTTTCATCCCCATATAACTTGAGTAGACTCAACCATGCATTGATCTGGACGAGTCCATTATGGTCTACATTGGTGAAAGGGTTAATCCTTAGTACAATGTCTATTAATTGTCCATCCATTGCTGTCAACTTTATTTCTTTTGTGAAGAACACCTTCTTGAAAACTGAAAGACTTTGAGTCTTGACATGTGGCCAATATACATGTAGATGATCATGACCTCGACCTACTTTCAAGGTCAAAGGGGTCAAATATGTTAGAAACTCAAAAACAACATCTGAAGAAGCAGAGGTCTAGAGTCATGATATTTGGGGTGTTATGTAGGTCAGCAGTGAATATCTTCTTCTAACATATCGTACATGTCAAGTCAACTCTCGCTACATGTACATTGGTATTATTTGTACGTAGTGCCTGTATCTGCACAACTATAGCAATATTTCCATCATCTCTGTCGTCCAATGTCCATGCCTAGTCCAGGCCTAGACCACAATGTAAAATGTATGTGTACCTTAT